TCTTATATTAGGCACCGTCTTTGATATAGCCAGACGAATGTCACTGTCAACATCAAGACGATTTCTAGATTTTGTTTTGATGGTAACAAGATCAGAAAAACCAGATTCGCACAAATAGGTTGTGGCCAATTGAACTAGTAATAAAGAAGCTTTCTTACTAAGTAGTGGGTAAGAATCCCAAAGAGATAACCAGAAACTCGAAATGTCTTCCTTATTTTTAAAAGTCAATTTCATCGCATTCGAAGCTTTCAGTTCTGCCAGTTCCTCTGCTCCTTCATCTATCGGACATATTTCAGTGACGAATGGGTCTTTGTATCACGGAATATGTAACGGTTTGTCTGGAAAATCCAATTCAAACTCAGCAGAAACTATCTCGAGATGTTCAATGATAATAGTTTTGATGTCTTCATGCAACTGTACTGTTTTAAAATACTCGTCTAACAGAGGAAACGATGCAGTTGATCCCAGCTTGATTCTTTTTTGCCCCCATTCGAGCACATATTCCGTCGAGCTTGTCCTGGACGTCACTGACTGAGACATCGCGACCTTGCAAGGACAGGTTCATTTCATTAAAGCACCCAAATACATCTGCAAGATACGCAAGCATCATGACAAACTATTCATCGTGGAAGGAAGTGTGGAAATTGTTTCCATTTTCCTGTAGAAAAGTTTCTACCTCAAATCGGAGTTCATACAGCCGAGATAGCCATTTCCCCCTTGAAAGCCATCTGACATTGGTATAAAATAGAAGACCAACAAGATCATCTCCCATTTCTTTACTCAAAAGTTGAAAGAGTCTGTGGTTTTTGGCTCTCGCACATATGAAGTTTATCACTTTAACGGCGATGTCCATGACTTCTAGCAAACGGGAAGGTAGAGTTTTTGTTGCAAGAGCGTACCGATGTAACGAGCAGTGAGAAGACGTTACGTGAGGCCATTCTTTCTTTACAATCGCAACAAATCCTGCCCTGACGCCAACCATCGCTGGGGCACCGTCTGTGCAAACATGTTTAAAATTGCACCAGTTGACTTCGTTAGCAATAAAAAATGCGTTTACTATAGTTTTCACATCTAATGCAGTAGTGGTGCTAGGCATGCTTTTACAGAAGAGAAACTCTTCCTTTTTTTTTCGTAACGAGCAAAAGCGATCAAGTGACTTTCCAGCGTGGTATCAGTGGATTCATCGAGTTGAAGGCTGGCTTGAAGGTTACTTTGCTTGATTTCGGAGCAAACTTGTTGGCATACATCGGCTGCCATGTCATCAATACGTCAACGGATTGTACTATTGGAAAGAGGAACTTGCTGCATCTTTCTTTTTTCTTTGGGACCTATCAGCAGTTCCACCATTTTCTCCGCACATGGCTTGATAAGATCCTCGGCAATAGTGTGCGACTTTTTGCACTTTGTGATACGATATGCCACTTCATAGCTGCATTCAAGAGCAGGCTTTTCCTCCAGCAGAAACCCGAAATTAGTCAATGTTGCTTCCTTGTCGAATCTGACTCGCTTGGCAGCCAATGCACCAATATCAACGTCTTTTACATGGGGATGATTTTTGTCACGGTGGTTTTGGAGTTTGGATGGACGTAATGATTCATTGCTCATTATATACAAGCAATACATGCATTGAGCACATTCTCTGTCATCTCGATTTACTTTGGTAAAGCCAAAGCCAACGTAGCTGTCGTTCCATTTCGTATTTTGGGCATTAGGAATATACATATAGGCTTCTGCGTTTATAATACGATACCGACGGTTAACTCGCAGCCTATTGAAACTGCCCGTCCGCAGGTTATACGGCCTGCCAGCGAACTATTCCGATTAGTAAATTCCATTATGATCAAACAATCCGCGCACGAGAAAGTGAATACACCTCGTGACCGGAAATAATTTATTCTGGTAATGAAACTGAGGTGAGCGGGGAATATTTATTTAAATGGAATGTATGCAAACGAAGTCGCTTTATAATCAATTATTAGCCTTGTGTCGTGGCCCCCCTCGAACTGCTTCGTGGCCCCCGGTTGAGAACCACTGCTCTATACCATAATGCGATTATAAACTTTTAAATGTCCAAAATAAAATAATACTGCAGTATCTAGTTATCTGGAGCAATAGTGATAGCTTTATCAAAAAAAGGTTGCAAACTCGGCTACTAGTATAGAAAATATGTTTCTGAATATTTTGATTATTATGATAACAAATGTACTTTATAATTCCCACAACATACAAGCTCAGGCTCAATAAAATGAAGATAATTGAATGTTCACACAACTGGAGCTTACAGCCTATTTTAGCTTTCATACAAAACAACGGAATTGACATATATTGGTCCATTGAGCTAAACCAGTGGTTCTCAACCTTTTCTTGGCCGCAAACCACTTTACTGTTTTTTACTCTGGCGCGTACCAACGACAAATCCCCATTTTGACACAAGGAAATTGGCACAAGAAACGTCCTATGGGAGTATTTTATAATGGGGCAGTACATCTTTCATGGTATAACACGCAGAACGGGCGAATACATGCCCTTCCTGTTTTGTTTAAAGTTGCCAAATAACGGCTGAGGGCAATCTCTGAAGACAAAAATGATATCGCTTTCATATCTTCGTAAAAAATGCTTTTGACCAACATTGACCGACAAATTTGAGCGAATTTTGTCGAATTGAGATACTTGTACATTATTATTTAAGTAAAAACGAGTTAAATTATTTTCGAGTTGAAATTGTTTCATTGAGACATTTGCAATCAAAACATTTCACCGTTTATGCACCCCTTCTCCAAACGGCGTCCATGGCATGAACCATGGCTGACACACCCTCTATACGCCACTGTTTCCCGACCCTCGACTCCAGATAAATTCTCCCAAAACTTTTTAAAAGCAAAACTTTTTCTGCTTATTTTGAGAGTGTTTTGATGTGTTGGTGCCTGGTAAACTGATTTACATGCTTAAATTCATTATTTGTATTAAACTTAATCAGCCAGTATCGCTTGCAGGTACCGATAACTAAATTGAGCCAAAGAGATTATTATATTCTTGTTAAGTTAGCAAGTCTATCACAGAATTTGGGAGACTAATTTTTAATTAAGCTAAGCTTCTGCAACTAACTTAAAGTTTCCCGGAGGACGTAACAACAATTAAGGTATTTAATTCACAATTATTTTCTTGAAACAACTATAAACTGACAAATATCACAAGTACAAAAAACGAGGCAACTTGTACAACCATGCTGAGCGACAGAAGCGTATGCAGAAATTGCAACTGTTGCCACAAATGCAGTATGTTGACTTATTGCTGATTAATTATCGTTAAAATATAAATAAGGGAAGTAATGTTCTGGGAACATCCATGAACGGTGCTCAGCAAATACGTACAGTATGGGAGATAAAAGCGTTACCGGCATATGTTAGCAAACTCAAATATTAATTGTTAATATTAATATTAAAAACTGACAAATATCACAAATACAAAAAACGAGGCAACTTGTACAACCATGCTGAGCGACAGAAGCGTATGCAGAAATTGCAATTGTTGCCACAAATGCAGTATGTAGACTTATTGCTGATTAATTATCGTTAAAATATAAACAAGGGAAGTAATGTTCTGGGAACATCCATGAACGGTGCTCAGCAAATACGTACAGTATGGGAGATAAAAGCGTTACCGGCATATTTTAGCGAACTCAAATATTAATTGTTGCAATAATTCAAAGTTGCTCGCATACCACTAGTTGTACGTGTAGCACAGGTTGAGAACCACTGAGCTAAACCAACAGCTTATAAAAATCAAACTAGAATTTAGTCATTTATCAACAACTTCGTTTCGGCATAAACACGATCTATCTCGAGCAAGTGTGTGTCTGGAGCAGCGTTCCCCAAACTGTGTGCCGCATGTGCCACGAAGCTTTTTGGAATATTAGAAAATAAGCTATTGGTATTGCACATGGGCATGCCCACAACAGGCAAGCTTATTATGCTTGAGTTGTATGTATGTATATTCCAGTGAGCATTGTAATTAAGGTGATTGTCACGATATAATTGCATTGTTTTGTCACAATGTAGTGACTTGCACACTTAGTTGGGTACTTGGGTTAACAGAAAAGCAAGTTTGAACGAGTTTTGACTATCTTCTTATAACTCCTATTCAATAATCTGTGCTGAATCCATCAAAAATAATCTTGCCATTTTATTCTCCATGGTTCTATGCACATGGATTTTCTGCTATGATTTTGATTAAAAGCTAAAAAGACAGCGGTTGAACCACGTTTCTCATAACAGCCACATATATCGCATTAACATTTGCGGAATGATTTGTTTGAGGCTTACTTTATTTTTTATAAGTTTTCAGTAGAATTTTTTTTATTTGCTTAGTGCGCCGCGAGCAAAAAAGTTTGTGAATCACTGGGAGGGAGGGCGAACATCTCGGACATCATATTATAGGGTTGAGTTTGTTGCTTAGTTTGATAATTTGAATAAAAAAAAAAACATTTCACTCTTACTTGACCTTTAATAAATTTATTCTCATGTATAACAACATCTATGGCTTGTATATTCCCCAATTCATTCCTGAAGTTGGGTGGGTATAAGGGGCATCATTATCAGAAACCCTTCCGGGCCAGCAGAAAAGACTAGCTCAAAAATCTCGAGTCAAATCTCTCTGGTGGTAACTTGAGTCAAGATATTTTGTTTGTGTGAGTCAAGTTCCTTAGAGTCTTTCAAAATGTGACTCGAGTAAATAAATGACTAAATTCTCTCAAATGCTTATTTTGACTCCTACAATATATATATATATATATATATTCACTGGTTGTGTAGAGCCTTGTTCTGAGCTAAAATTAAATGATTTTTCCTCCTACAAGGGGCATGAGTTAGAGATAGGGATTGATATATTGTTTCATATTCCCTTTGAACACGCACCAACCACCAATCCTCTTATGAACTAATTATCAGCTCAAATTTATACTGTTTAGTCATTCATGCTCATCACATGAAGTCTCCTCTTACCTTCGCATTGGGAGTGTTTTCTTTGAATGCTTTCATTCCTTCTGCTGTCAGATTGCAATTCCTAGCCTTGAATACCTTTACCTGGCATTGTGTAACAACTAATCCAAGTTCACCAAAACCCTCGTTTCCAAGGCCGTAGTTGTCACTGACATTTAGTTCATTCAGCTAAAATAAATAAAAGTTGTAAAATTATTTAACATGATGGAAATACAAACGAGACTATAGAATCCACCGCACTGAAGGTTCACATTGCAACAGCACGAAATAAATTAAAGTTGTGATATGGCAGGCTATTAAACCACCTAATCTAGGTTTCTTTAAAACAAGGGTGTGCAACATTTTTTGCCGATGGGCCATATAACAAACTGCAGATATCTAACTGGGCCACCTTGAGTGAATATTACATCATGATATGTTGTTAACAAGCATACAGCAATAAAATACATTAGTGACTACCAGAGCGCTATGAGGACGGTAGTAGAGTAATGAATGCACAGGAAAAGATTAAACGCAGCGACAACACCAGAAAACATTGTGTATTTTTACCCATGTGAGAGCCTTTTTAAATATAAACTGTCAGATTACAATTTTATGCTTGATGGGGAAAATCTGTGTGTTGACTAGGGCCACGCTAAATGGCTTGCTGGGTTGAATTGTGGCCAGCGAGTCGCCTGTTGTACACCACTGCTGTAGAATGTATTTTCTGTCACTAGTTGGCGCCATTAGTAATTCATCAAAAAGGAAATAGATTCTATCAACTTTCAATCTTAATTTTGCTTCAAATTATCAATGACTTGTCATTAGTGGTAGCTAACTACTTACAGATAAAAATTTGTTTTCACTGTAGAATCGAAAGTTATCAGGGATGGGGAACCTTTATACTTATCGGAGAAAGTACATTTTCTTTTGGACAATAACCTTTCGATGTCATTCTCTAAGTATTAGCATGTCATTTTACTACTAATATATCCAGTACCTAGGCCACTTTGCTCTGGCACGAAACTCGCGCCACTAAACAGATCTATTGAATTCTCCAATAATTACTCAACGGTAGAGCTCAACCGATATATCGGCCAACCAATATATATGGGGCCTATATTATGTGTTTGCCAATATATCCTATCGGCTGTAAACCGCCGATATATATCGGCCATACTCGGCAAGCGTCGAGCTGCGTGCGACAACGGCACTCGCCCCTGCGTGTATTTCTCTCGCTTTCATTTTGCGTTATAACGATGTCTCTCCTAAATGCCGGTGTCTTATGATTAGCCATTTCATGCATGGTCATAACTGAAAAGTTATTATCTGGAGTAACAATGACGTTTTTGAGATAGTACACAATGAGATAAAAACAAATTTAGTAATAGCATTAAACGGTGGTTCTATAAATAGAATCGATTGGAAGCTGGTGAGTTAGTAATCATAGAAACATGGTACAGGTAGCTCAAAGCAATAATGTCAGTTCCGAATTTTTGACCTCCCCAAATTCAATTTTGAATTTCTGGGGTAACAGTTTTGTCTATATTGATGGTTGTTTATCATTTTGCTGAAAATTACAAAATAAAAACTTAATCTATTATTATTGAATAAATAAGGTATTGAGAGTCTCTGGAAACAAAGTTATTAAAAATTTTACATGTAACTGCACATATGCTATCACAATATCGAAGGATCATTATCCCGATTCACTTTAAAATATATCAATTTATAATTTTTTAATAGGCCTATAGTTATATTTAAAAAGATCTGATTAACAATGCTTTTTTCTGGAAATAGCTAGACTGATATTGAAGTAGCAGGAAAAGTTGCAGAACAACATTTGTTCGAGTTAGTTAAATGAAAGTCGTACTGCTATGATAACAAATATCAAAATGAAACTACAGACTCACAAGGTGCATCATGAAAGCGTGGCTCAAAAAATGCTTTTAATTAATATCAGCATTGCGATATCGGTTATCGGCCACCAGTTGGCCGATATATCGATATCGGTATCGCCGTCAAAAAGTGATATCGGTCGAGCTCTACTCCACGGCTCTTGCTAACAAACAGAAACGACAAATATTAGTCATATTTGGGTTTTGTTTAAATTCTCAGTTTTGCATCAAGTGCACCAACATCTTTTCGTAAAATTACCTAGGAATGTCAAACAAAGCAACAAATTATTGTGCGATATTTTTTCGAAATTTTGCCAAGGAATTATTATTTGACTAGTAGAATTGGCATTATTGAATCATCATTTAATCTCAAAATAACATTCAGGATTCGATCAAAATATTCTATTTTGCCCGCTCTTGCGATCTGTAATCACGTCAGTAATCTGGCGAAAATCACGGGAGTCCAAACACTTATTCAATAAAAATAAATAATGAAACGTTCAATACATTTAATAAATTGAACTACTTCACGAAAGCGTGGTGAAATTGACGGTTATTTCATATATCTCAAACACAAAAACGGTTACCTTTTTTCGGATAGTTTCTGCTGTGTTGAAAGTAGAATTAGCGCTTTGACATAGTAAATACTATGATCTTTGCCATCAAATTATGCTCGGCCCTTGCATAAATTTCGTAACGTTCAAATATACGTTCAGCAGTAAAAATTGTTTATACCAATTTGAGACCTACTAAGTGTTTTTAGCTATAATAAATAATTGTTGGTATTGAATACAGTTTGTTCGCCCTTCCATTTCTCTTGCAAGTGCCGGCAATAACACTATTGAATAATTTTGGTAATGGGAGAAACATATTACAGGTGACAGGCATAACAGTCCCACTGACATTCATCGTTATTATTTTATACATAAATATACAGGGTTTGTTGAATAAATAATAAAATTCCTGAGCTTCTTTGTTTATTTATTATTCTATAACAACAAGGCTTTATGAGTAGGAAATGTTGATGTTTTAAGATAGGTGCCGCAAATATTTAAAGAGCTCAAAAATGTGCCACCGGGCCACGACATAAAAAAGGTTGGGAACCACTGTTCTAAATTACCATTTTGGTACCACAATCAATCTTTAGTAAGGGCAGTCAATGAACCATGCCAGAGTATAGGTAGCAGACGAACAGTCAAAAAATTTATAAAATTTATTACCCAAAAGTCATTTGAAAATGAAAGGAAAACATTGAATTTTTTCATGAAATGGGATAAATGAAAAGGTATAACCATCATTGACTATACATAGTTACTACACATAACTTAACTTGGAATTTTAATACCTGCAAGAACTATAATAATTTTAACAAGTAATGGAAAGACTTCATGACATACAAATGGTTCAAGGACTTTCGCCAAGCACCTATAAATGCTCCTATGTCTGTGACATATCTGTGAGAGGATTCACTAATATCACTTAGGTATGCTCAATTCGTAGACAAAGCCTAAGGTTGTCAGCTCCGGGAGCCACAGAATCTCAAAATAAATCCCAGACAGACATATCAAGCATTGTAGCATTTTTCTTCCCATATACAGTTAAAAATCTGTTTGAATTACGGTAGGTAACCTTCTTCACAAACTCACAATTATAATACGAGAATATCGGTCAGAGACCGAAGACTTATCGATCGAATATTAGGGGATCCCCCAAAAAAGCGCTTTGACTCCATAATGACACCTTGTGTCCCATCACTAATTAATTAATAACTCGCTAATTATACGACATAATTCATCCAAAATCAATAGGCTTATGGTCCGACAAGTGATGAATGCACATGCAAAATCTGGAGCAGATTCAATCTCGCTTTCGGGAGATATCGCGTGCATCTAACAGACATACAGACAGACAGACAAATACCTATCTACATATTTACCGATTAAAATCGATAAGTAATAACTACAGATTGATTGATTACCAAATTTTGCCAAATATGAAGTACTGGAGGGTAACTACTTAATTTTCTGACACACGGGCAGTTTTTGTAATACTATTTAAGCTGGTTGCAGAGGGCAATCCGACTGGTATTATATTGTTAGGCCATAACATTAATAACGAGAATATCGGTCAGAGACCGAAGACTTATCGATCGAAAGTTAGGGGATCCCCCAAAACAGCGCTCTTACTCCATAGTGACACCTTGACCTTGACATCCCCAATTAAATAATAACTCGCTAATTATACGACATAATTTGCCCAAAATCAATAGGCTTCGGGTCCGAGATGAGATGAATGCACATGCAAAATCCGAAGCAGATTCAATCTCGAGATATCGCGTGCATCTAACAGACAAACAGACAGACAAATACCTATCAACATACTTACCGATTAAAATCGATAAGTACCGGTAATGAGCTATCTGTAAGTATAGCCAACCTAGCCTGATATATTCTTCATTCGATTTTTAGTTTTCTATGTTGCCTATATTGTTAGCATACATTCTTGTTCGAAAAGATAGAAAGCTATATAACAATTTAGACTAGCCAACTACATTATTTAACTTCGCTGGCTATTACACTAGGTAATTTAATGACATTAGTAATGTAACAACATGTCAAAAGATTTTTCTGGATATTTTTATGACGAAACAACATTAAATGTGATTTTTAATTACACTTCAACCAATGTGGCGGCCGCGGTTTGGACCACCCTGGCATAGCCAGTTACTTCATCGCCTTCCATCCCCAAACTTATTTTAAAGAGATTTTGCGACATTTGCTGTGAGACACAATTTCGTACATTTTTTTAAAACACTTTTTGCATTTTTCGTGAGTGATTCAAAGAGTACCCGACATTTCAAGCTCACTATCAATCCTTACTGTCCTCTAAAGCAGTGGTTCTCAAACTTCTTCTGCTTATGGCATACTGAGTAAATAAAAAAAAATTGTAGTTCACTTGTACAAAAATAAGCTTACTTTAAATAAATTTATTCTTTTTAATACAAAGGTTTGCTTTTTTAGAGGAACAAATAAATTTGCCAAGCCCACCCACATTTCGTTGTCTATTTTAAGAAGTCACTTTTTTTTTGCTTTTAATTTTGGTTGGAGCGGAAAATAGGTGAAGGTACAAGATTATTTCGATGGTTTTTTCACGGATCATTGAAAAAGATTTATTAGCAGATAGCCGAAACTCCTCTTTAACAACTTTTTTGGGGAATCAATGCTTGAAAAAACCGGTCATTTCATAAATCAATGAGTTGTTTAATATTTACGGTTAATTCAATTCATTGCTACGTAATTGAGAAACAAGGGAAGTAATGTTCTGGAAAAATCCATGAACGGTGCTCAGCAAATACGTACAGTATGGGAGATAAAAGCGTTGCCGGCATATTTTAGCGAACTCAAATATTAATTGTTGCAATAATTCAAAGATGCTCGCATACCACTAGTTGTATGTGTACCACAGGTTGTGAACCACTGAGCTAAACCAAAAGCTTATAAGAACCAACTAGAATTCAGTCATTTATCAACAACACGTTCTATCTCGAGCAAGTGTGTGTCTGGAGCAGCGTTTCCCAAACTGTGTGGCGCATGTGCCACGAAGCTTTTTGGAATATTAGAAAATAAGCTATTGGTATTGCACATAGGCATGCCCGCAACAGGCAAGCTTATAATACTTGAGTTGTATGTATGTATATTCCAGTGAGTATTAGACTGAAAATATTATTGCATTTGCCTCATCATTGTAACTAGGGTGATTCAAGGTTTGATTGCATTGTTTTGTCACAATGTAGTTAGAAACAAGTTGTTCACCTTCCACCACGTGACTTGCACACTTAGTTGGGCTAACTGAAAAGCAAATTTGAACAAGTTTTGACTATCTTCCTATAACTCCTATTCAATAATCGGTGCTAAACCCATTGAAAATATTCTTGCTATTTTAATCTCCATGGCTCTATGCACACGGATTTTTCTGCTATGACTCCAATTAAAACTTCAATTATATACTAACTACTATTCTATTTCAAAAGTATGTATTAATACTTAAGAATGTTGGTAGCCACTTTTAATTCAATAACCTTTTTATATCGTGAACTAATTAAGGTGTGGTCCGTGAAATGATGAACGCACATGCAAAATTGGATTGGGTGGAGATTAAACCCCGCTTTCTTGAGATATCGCTTGCATCTAACAGACAGACAAACAGACAAAGATCGATAAACAAGATTGACAAGTAATGATATTTTTTACATCATGCACTCGGTCTATTACTGAATCTGTGATAATATTATTTTTCGTCCTTGGTATTCATTTTTGATCCCGGTCTGTGTCCAATAACAAAAAATATGCTTTTCGTGAAAATTTTTCCATTGGACATGTCCGGCTTCAACCAACACATGACCTCTCTAAATCCTAAATTCACCTTAGTAACTTCCATAATACCATTAAATTGCCGACTCGTTTCCTTTTTTCCTCGTATTTATTTCTTAAATATTTATATTTAATCTCATTTGTATACACCTATGTTGACTTTAATCGGTCTTGCACACCGACCCGCACAAAGCAATAATCAATTACTGTGGAATATTTTCGTTATTGTATTATGTTTATATTAGTGTTGATTTTGTTTTTGTGGCAATAAATTTCTCTCTCTAAAAGCAAAAAAGACAGCGGTTGAACCACGTTTCTCAAAACAGCCACATATATTGCATTAACATTTGCGGAATGATTTGTTTGAGGCTTACTTTATTTTTTATAAGTGTTCCGCAGATTTTTTTTTATTCGCTTAGTGTGCCGCGACCAAAAAAGTTTGTGAATCACTGATCTAGAGGGAGGGCGAACATCTCGGACAGCATATTATAGGGTTGAGTTTGTTGCTTAGTTTGATAATTTGAATGAAAAAAAAAACATTTCACTCATACTTGACCTTTAATAAATTTATTCTCATGTATAACAACATCTATGGCTTGTATATTCCCCAATTCATTCCTGAAGTTGGGTGGGTATAAGGGGCATCATTATCAGAAACCCTTCCGGGCCAGCAGAAAAGATTAGCTCAAAAATCTCGAGTCAAATCTCTCTGGTGGTAACTTGAGTCAAGATATTTTGTTTGTGTGAGTCAGGTTCCTTAGAGTCTTTCAAAATGTGACTCGAGTAAATAAATGACTAAATTCTCCCAAATGCTTATTTTGACTCCTACAATATAAATATATTCACTGGCTGTGTAGAGCCTTGTTCTGAGCTAAACTTAAATGATTTTTCTTCCTACAAGAGGCATGAGTAAGAGATAGGGATTGATATATTGTTTCATATTCCCTTTAAACATGCACCAAACACCAATCCTCTTATGAACTTAATATCAGCTCAAATGTATGCTGTTTAGTCATTCATGCTCATCACATGAAGTCTCCTCTTACCTTCGCATTGGGAGTGTTTTCTTTAAATGCTTTCATTTCTTCTGCTGTCAGATTGCAATCCCAAGCCCTGAATACCTTTATCTGACATTGTGTACCAACTAATCCAAGTTCACCAAAACCATCGGTTCCAAGGTCGTAGTTGCCACTGACAACTAGTTCATTCAGCTGAAATTAATAAGAACTGTGAAAATATTTAACATCATGGAAATACAAACGAAACTATAGAACCCACTGCACTGAGGATTCACATTGCAACAGCATGAAATAAATTAAAGTTGTGATATGGTGGGCTATTGAACCACCTAATCTAGGTTGCTGTAGAACAAGGGTGTGCAACATTGTTTGTCGATGGGCCATAACAAACTGCAGATATCTAACTGGGCCACCTTGAGGGATTATTACATCATAATATGTTGTTAACAAGCATGCAGCAATAAAATACATTAGTGACTATCAGAGCGCCATGCGGACGGTAATAGAGTGATGAATGCACAGGAAAAGATTAAACGCAGCGACAACACCAGAAAACATTGTGTATTTTTACCCATGTGAGAGCCTTTTTAAATATAAACTGTCAGATTACAATTTTATGCTTGATGGAGAAAATCTGTGTGTTGACTAGGGCCACGCTAAATGGCTTGCTGGGTTGGATTGTGGCCAGCGAGTCGCCTGTTGTACACCACTGCTGTAGAATGTATTTTCTGTCACTAGTTGGCGCCATTAGTTATTCATCAAAAAAAAAATAGATTCTATCAACTTTCAATCTTAAATTTTGCTTCAAATTATCAAAGACTTGCCATTAGTGGTAGCTAACTACTTACAGAAAAAAAAATTGTTTTCACTATAGAATTGAAAGTTATCAGGGAAGGGGAACCTTTATACTTATCGGAGAAAGTACATATTCTTTTGGACAATAACCTTTCGATGTCATTCTCTAAGTATTAGCATGTCATTTTACTACTAATATATCCAGTACCTAGGCCACTTTGCTTTGACAAGAAACTCGCGCGCCACTAAACAGGATCTCTTGAATTCCCCGATAATTACTCCACGGCTCTTGCTAACAAACAGAAACAACAAATATTAGTCGTATTTGGGTTTTGTTTAAATTCTCAGTTTTGCATAAAGTGCACCAACATCGTTTCGTAAAATTAGAAATGTCAAACAAGGCAACAAATTATTGTGCAATATTTTTCCCAAATTTTACCAGAGAAATATTATTTGACTAGTGGAATTAGCATTATTGAATCATCATTTAAACTCAAAAAAAAACATTCAGGATTTGATCAAAATATTCTATTTTGACCACTCTTGCGATCTGTAGTCACGCAATCTGGCGAAAATCATGGTAGCCCAAACACTTATGCAATGAAAATAAACAATAAAACATTCAATAAATTTAGTAATTTGAACTACCTCACGAAAGCGTGGTGAAATTGACGATTATTTAATATATCTCAAACACAAAAATGGTTACCTTTTTCGAATAGTTTCTGCTGTCTAGAAAGTAGAATTAGCGCTTTGACATAGTAAATACTATGGTCTTTGCCATCAATCATACATAAATATACAGGGTTTGTTGAATAAATAATAAAATTCCTGAGCTTCTTTGTTTATTTATTATTCTATAACAACAAGGCTTTATGAGTAGGAAATGTTGATGTTTTAAGATAGGTGCCGCAAATATTTAAAAAGCTCAAAAATGTGCCACCGGGCCACGACATAAAAAAGGTTGGGAACCACTGTTCTAAATTACCATTTTGGTACCACAATCAATCTTTAGTAATGGCAGTCAATGAACCATGCCAGAGTATAGGTAGCAGACGAACAGTCAAAAAATTTATAAAATTTATTACCCAAAAGTCATTTGAAAATGAAAGGAAAACATTGAATTTTTTCATGAAATGGGATAAATGAAAAGGTATAACCATCATTGACTATACATAGTTACTACACATAATTTAACTTGGAATTTTAATACCTGCAAGAACTATAATAATTTTCAAGGACTTTTGCCAAGCACCTATGCCTATGACATATCTGTGAGAGGATTCACTAATATCACTTAGGTATGCTCAATTCGTAGACAAAGCCTGAGGTTGTCAGCTTCGGGAGCCACAGAATCTTAAAAAAATCCCAGGCAGACATATCAAGCATTGTGGCATTTTTCTTGCCATATACAGTTAATAATCTGTTTGAATCTGTCTGAACTTTCTTTTCAAACTCACAATTATAAAATTACTTACAAATAACCACAGATTGATTGATTACCAACTTTTTCCAAATGTGAGGTACAGGAGGGTAATTACTAAATTTTTCAACACAGAGGTGGCAGTTTTTGTAACACTATTTAGGCTGGTTGCAGAGGGTAATCCGGCCGAAACTATGATGTTAGGTTCCGCTATAACAGGGGTCGGGAACCTTTTTGGTCAAGAGAGCCATAAAATATAAATATTTTCAATTGCATTTCCGTGCGAGCCATATAACACTTAATCAGGCCTGAAATGTTTACTCAAAAGTCAACACATACAATGTCAATATACATTTAATGTGATTTCTGATGCTGCATGTAGTCGCTGCGGGCCTTGAACGGTTGCTCACATGCAGCCCAAGTTGAAATCTACGATACTCATCACCCTTTTTCGTTTAGGCATGTCCGTAGTGTTTTTAAAACTCTATCGCTTTGTGATGTCACAATATATGTTCCAGAATCCCCTTGTTTGTCACAAAGCATGTCTGGTAATTATCTTACATAACATAGACATGTTCTGGACGCGCAAACGTATTGGGAATTTCCTGCCAAATTTGGCTATAAAAGAGTTTGAAATCTCGTAACAATAGTAAGCTTAGTCTTGGGATATTAGATTTTTTTGGGAGCCATATGCCGTCACCAAAAGAGCCATATATGGCTCGCGAGCCATGGGTTCCCGACCCCTGCGCTATAACATTAAAAATTTGCTTTCAGTAAGAATAGCCAACTTAGCCTAATAGATTCGCTTACTTAACTACTTAAGACATGTCGGTCACCCATGGCTTAATCCCATGATTTTTTGCTTTTTTCAATTTCCCCAAAGTGTCTGGAACACAAAAAAAATTTCTCCTGCTTTTCCGAATTCATTTTTGTTATATTCTGAGAAAGTCCGGACGGTTTTATTGCTACATTAATAAAAGTTTTATTATACAACAAACACATCCTTGCAAATCAGAATAAGCCATATTGGAGGTAAAGCTTACTACATTGCCTACATTTTTGCTTCGCAAACTCATTCTGAAGCTTTGAAACTAAAGCTGTTATACTGTTTTAATCTAAATCCATTATAGGTTGCATAGATCACTGTCAACGATATTATCAACTTACACAACACAATGTTAGACACGGCATGACATCGCATCAGGCTAGACTTTAGCAATTCGAGAATTTATGTATTAGATATGCAAACTAGTTATTCCATGACCCAAGTAACAAAAATGAGCCAATTTTGTCGCAACGTGGAGATGGTACCAATTTGATATCAGTGCTCCCAATCGCCAAGATACACAATCAGGGGTCCCCAATTGGCTAATTTGCAGTCAGACCCCCCAGTTGTCGCAAAAAACAACCGCCCATAGGGGGGCATTTTTGCCCTCTCCGCTTTAAACGAACCAATCGGGATGATTGGATAACTTCTATAGCGACGTAAGTTTGTGGAGACCTCCTTTGAAATATCAGTGGCAGCTTAAACCTGGTATTGTTTGGAGTGAGGTAATTGTTTGGAGTGAGTCAGTGAGTGTAAAAAAAAATTTACCTTCCCAAAATTATGGGCAGGTTACGTCCTTGGACTCATCACATATTGCAACCAAAGTGATTTCCCTGATACTATAGCAAAGGGAAAGTTGGTCTGAGCCAGTAAACTTTGATTTTAAATCAGAGCTTTCATCATTGCTTAGAGTAATAATTTATAAAAAATTATTTTTATTGTTAGGGGGATGAGTACAAAATAAGAAATAATTTTTTCATTAAAAAATTTTATTTTGAAAATCATGCACATCATAACCAATGCTTGAAATTATGATAAAATTTACCAATCACAATCCACTAAGTTCAGAATTATATGTTTACCTTTAAAGAAGAACCCTTTAGATTTGACTTCAGGATATGAACCAACTCAGCATTGAGACCACACTGAAAAAGGTCAACCTGATCTAGTTGGCCACAGCGCCGCATGACTGATGACATGGTATGCATTCCGACTGTAGTGAAGCATTCGTTTGAAATTATGATGTCCTTGATGCAGGAATGAATAAGGTCGGTGTCATTAGCTTCGTATAATGTCCCAAACAGCTCCAACTTTTCATACAATTTCATTTTTCGACTTGATTGAAATGCGAGAAATTTTTTTAGAATTTCTCTTTTATCATCTTGTCTGGCACCTGGTAATTATGAAAATATTATGATTATTGTATGTAGTAAACGTAGGTTTTTATTGCGTGGGGTTAATTATGGACATAAGGCATAATTGGACTTCGCAGAGTTATAGAGTGAAATAAAAAGTATCTGCTGATTGGTCATGGTTTGGTCATTCACTAGACTAGAAGGCCACAATTCAGTACATGATAAATCCTCCTTGTTGACTTTTCCTTCCAAGTAGGTAAATTCTAGTTGTCAAATTAATTCAAAATTGGTGTAAAAGACATGATCACATGAAATATTACTTAGAAGAAATATTACCAGAAGAAAGATTTGTTATGAGACTGCTTTCAATATCAGGATTCAGAATGATTCCACTTAGAAAACGACGAACAACTGCCCAATGATCGTCTCGAATCTCAGTTTCGATAAAGGTGCGAAACGTAGTAGAATCCATGCTTGAAATGTAGAGAGCGGATAATACTTCTTGAAGAATTTGATGGCTGAAGAACATTTGATGGTCTCCTTCCATGAGATGCTGGTTGAACGAATTTTTCCCAGGTACCTTGATGACAAAGTCCCGAACCTCAAGAGGACTAAGCTTTACTTTTTCGAGATCCTCGATTGTGAAAACGACTCGCTTTTCTTTTGTGCCTTCGAATGACATTTGCATTAGTTTCTGAAGTGTTTCTTCAATATATTCCTTTTTATGGGCATGATCGGATCGCATGAAGATGTGGAGGATTTGTAGCATTACCTCAGTCATAGTATCTGGTGGATTATCTGGGTTGTCCTTGCAAACGATGGCATTGAATATTAGGAAAAGAGGAACAGATGATAACGGGATAAGTGCGGGCGACTGCATTGTTAATTTCTCCCAAGCTTTTTCACCGCTGTCTCCTATAATTGCAATGAACAAACGCTTGATATCATTTTGAGCCAGACCAGCAAGGGCAGTTATGAATTGCGGCCTCAATTCTGATGGGAGTGATGCCACTCTGAACTCGCGCGAAGAAATCACGATCGTCATGTCAGGAAAGAGATTGCCTGTTATGATATTGTACATGACAGTTGCTGTGCTAGATTTATCAGTATATTTCATCTTGTTGTGTTTTCCGAGAAGACTCCAAGTTGCTTGATCAAGTCCGTCAAGGAAAAGAATTGACTTCGATTGATTTTGTTGCAGCCGTTCATAGCCTTCTTCCAGTTCTTGTGATGAGAGTCCCGAAGCTTCTTTTCCAAAAAGAAGTTCACATGGACTGATGGCTTTATCACGTGTTGTTCCATTCAAAACGGGGATATCTTTGATGTTCAAGTGATGAATAAATTCAAAGCGACGTTCCAGCCGCAATGCTTCAGCGGCTTGGGCTTCTTCTCCTAATTTGTTTTTGATATGAAGTGTTCGAGCAAGGCGTTTCATACTAGTAGTTTTTCCACCCCCTGCCTGTCCCAATATGGCAATATACCTGTATTTTTTGTTGCCTAATTGTTCTATGAGTTCATTCTGAGAAATAGGTTTTCCAACTTTTTCTTCATTTGCTTTGACAGTGAATCCAGTCTCGATATTGTATTGCCTAGTCTCGGGAGCCATTTCTCCTCTGTAGAAACGTGGCACTTCTCTTAGTTGGGGATTTACTTCAAAGTCTGGTTCGTTTAAGTTTAGCTGTTTGTAATCTTCTGTGATTTTCACTTTTGTTTGCTCCAGGGTTCTCTTGTTAAAATAATTGATAAATTTCTTCCATTGCTTTCTTTTTTTCTTTTTTGCCTTTTTCCCATTTCCTTTTCTTTTACGCTTTCCTGAATAAGGTTTGAATGCATTTAATAATCAAGTGAAATAATGTTGTCGGTATATACAAATATGTGCCTTGAGAGATTCAATAAAATCAGGCACTTTGTACTTTGCGAATTTGAACGGGTCCGGAGAAATAAACTCATTTTCTGGTTGTTTATGATGATGCAAATGGTCAGCCTTAACCCAGCATTTAATTGATCAAATAGGAAATCGTTTATCTATCAAATTAATTTAAATATTGGAAATTAATTATATTCATATAGCAAGTTTCTACTTGCCCCAGCTACCCTTTACCAGACTTGGCTTGGAGTATTTTTTGCATGCCTCATTGCTAAAATCACCAATTAAAGACAGCAGAGTAGGCAGGAGCAGTGGTTCCCAACCTTTTTACCTTGACAGACCAGTGACTTCAAATAAAATTACCTCGTGAACGGGCAACAAAATATTGAACTGACACAATGCATGAAAACGAAAAAGTATAAATTGAACGAGGTCTAATTTTAGTGTTTGTGTTTTTGACTGCATGAAACATTCCAAAGTAATAAAAAAGGACGATAGAAGAGCAAATTATTATATACAGTTTTCGGCATACTAGTTAAAATGCGCGACTGAATATTTTGTTTGGAAGGTTGTTTGGAAGGTTATTCAATTCCACAAAGGGTAGCGTTCTCAAAATTTATATTTTTGAAATAGTTTACCTGAAGACGGTAATAAAGTGCGAAAAAAATTGGAAATTTCTCAACGATCAGGGTTTTTTGCTTCTTGCATGAAAACAAAACATCCAAACGTCCAATATGGACTTTTGTGAAACCGGGGAGAAGCTACAGCTAGACAAACGGACAGAACAACAAAGAATAGGGTCTCCTAGAACAGTGTTTCCCATACTTTTTGGGCCGCGGACCTCTGTTTAATAATCATATTCTTGACGCACCCCCATATTATGCCGTATCAATTTCTGCGCCTAACCAACGAGGAATGGTAATGTTTCATTTACATCACAATAACACGAACGATAATAATGTGTTAAATGAGATTGCTTTCGACTGCACATTTTAGCAATTGTTGTAGCAATTGGTGATAGGAAAACTCGTAGGTGCGACAGCAAGTCGAATTTTGTCATCAAATTGGTAAGAAATGAAAATGCTGAAAAGTTTTTCTATTTACCCTTTCTAACAGCAATTTCGTCTGCAACGATCCAACAAAAATATGCAATCATTAAATCAATCATTAAAGATCTATCAGACTCTTTTTTTATCATCGCAGTCGCAGACCCCCTGTGCAGTCATCACAGACCCCCGGGAGTCCGCGGTACCAGTTTCGGAAACCCTGTCCCAGAAGGAGATCTAACTATTACAAGTGTGTCAGTCTGCATAAACGATGTATACAGAGCACTAATAAAAATCATTTTACACTTACTTGATGGTATAGGCACCACTTCATAGACTGGACAAGGAACATCATCTGAGACAAGTTTGGCATCAGTTGATCCCTTCATTCTTTGAGCTCTTGTGGTTTCACCTGAGGTAAATTATAAATATAAACTGAAATAGTTTTCTGAATCACTGAAAATATCATGAACTCATTTGTTATCTCATACTCATACTATCTTGCATTTACATAATAATCATAGTCAGCGTATACAGAATAAAGATAAAGAAATACTAGTCTATTCAGTAAGTTCATTGGAACAAGCATGACTGATTAAACTGAGTTTTAAAAGCTGTCTCCTACACAGAAAAATTTAAATCATTTGAACAAACAATTTAACAAATGAAAATTCAACAAGTCATTTATTGATCATAAAATTCTTAATAAATGCTTTTAATTTTGCTTTAGATTTATTTTATATAAAAATTCCTGATTCATACCTGAAGTGGACGGGATTTCCTCTTGCATAGACCTGGGAAAAGCTTCATCAGCTTGTACCTGACGTTCTGGTGCAGCTGGAGGGTACGGACCTAAAAATAATTAGGTTTCATAAGTTTATGTTGAAACTGAAGTTGAAAATATTGTGCTTTCGGTCTAGAGCAGCGGTTCCAAAACTGTGGGTTGCGAAAGGAACCTTGGTGGGTCGTGAAAAGATGTAGGAAACTTTGATAAATTATACTGGTTATTAGGATTAGTGGCGACTCGAATACGTAAATCTTCAAAAAAACAAAATAATTTAAATTGAATTTAAATTCTAATCTGTGAAAGTTTTTTTTTTACGATCTTCCCGAAGGAACATAACTTTGCTACACAAAGAATGACCATGTGACTTTTTTATGCGCAGTTTTGTACACTGTACAGCACTTCTTACCGTGTTTCCCCAAAATTTAGACAAGATTTAGATTTTTTTTTTGAAGAATAACATTATGTTTTTTTTTTGGATGAGGTCTTTTGTGTTCATTTATCAAAAATAAAATTACATTGTAGAAAATCACGAGATTTTTTAATAAACATCATATAAAAACATACCCATTGTTTTTTACTTGTATTTCCTATACAAAAACCAAGTGACAAATATCATAATTGCGATCGTGACATCACACAATCTTGAATAGTGGTGTGATCTTCACCTTACTTCAGGTCATTGAACCGTTTCTGTCCCACACATTTTAAATTTATTTTAAGGGTAGGGTTTAATTATAAATCATTTTTAAAATTCAAATTAGGTCTTATTTCCAGGCCAGGTCTTATTTTCGAGGAAACGCTGTAGTTTTGAGATGATTAGCCATTGCTGTGTTCTGTGTTATGTCATAAAAAACAAAAGAAAATAGATCCAACAAAGATATTTTGTTGTGGGTCGCCAAACGCTGCGGTAATAAATAGTGGGTCCCAACGCTACAAAGTTTGGGAACTACTAGTCTAGAGTCAAAGTCGAATGCTTAATAGTAGATCAGTTTTCATTACCATGATTTTCATCTCGACAGCTAGAACAAAAAGTAAATGTTGCTTACTAGTGGCATGAGATTGTTCTCATTTTTTATCAATTTTGTGAAGTTTGTAAAATTTGATGGTTGATAAGTGTATGTACACTATTTCGATTTTGTATTTTAGATGTTTTTATATAATATACCTAATTCAAGAATACTAAAGACTGTATAATTATCAAAACAGATGAAATAAAGTTGAACTGAACTTACAAACAAACGCTCATAGTATGACAGTACATTCAAAATTGTTAATCGTTTATGAATGTGTAAAGTAACCACTTGTCGCTAAAATGCTCGGACTTTTTCATGATTTTGGGGTACGCAACAAGAAAAAGTTGCTAATGATAACAAAATTCATGAGAATGCTGCATTTTCACTTAGGGTAGGGTGGGGTAGCCAACGTGCTTTCGGCCGCGATCGACTGAAATTTTCAAAATATCTCGGGATCGACTTCTTGGTGTTGAGGTCATTCACTTAAAAATGGGTGCTGAATATGCAGATATCTACACACAGTCACACACGCATACAGAAATTCCACTCTGTGGGTGCATTCTTTATGAAATCACCACGAAAAAAATGGATTTTTATGTTCACTCAATTCATTAATTTGAATATGTAATTGTACTCGGAGTAAATGTTACATCATTTATTTAACATTTATTCAATCCAAATACAATTCAGATCTAAGGCCTGCATACTTTTTTGTCGTAAATGTTGAAATCTCCCAAAAACTTGCCAAGTATCCATGTATTATCTAAAAACCATAAATGTTACATGACTGATCAAACTTTAGTTGAATCTTCGTTCGCTTGAAATTCGAAAAATTGGGTATTCTGGTGCCACAGCTACCGTTGTGAATGAAATTTATCTTGTCTTGGAGTGAGACAATAACTTTGTATACTACTACTACGGAAGTTACCTAATGTAGGGTGGTTCGTCAAACAAGACACACAATATTCGGCAAGTTCATTCCTAAGCCTTGGCATCGGCCAAACTTGCATTTGTTGTGTAATATTAAGCTTTATCGGACTTGCCCAGACTCAAATAGTGTAAGTGTATATGGTATTTTACGTATGTACAGTACTGTACTGTATTCTTGCTGTTTTAGAACACAAAACACACGCAGGCGCTTAAGGCAATTTTGGGGGATATGTGATTAAATTCACTCAAAATCAGACGCGATCGACTCTTGAGACGCAGCGATTGACGTGTTGGCCACCCCTGACGTAAGGCACTAGATTATAAGAATGTTAATTCAACTATCATTTAGGGCCTCTTCGTGAGACTTCGGTATCCATATTGGATCCTACTAACTCTGAACTACTGTAAGAAACGCATTTACAAATACCACAAAAAAGACTTCAACAATATAAAGAAGATATTTCAACTAGTGCTAAAATAACAAATAATGATAGATAGCAGATGAATAATTTAGAAAAAGTGCCAAAAGCTTTAACGCAGCCTAAAAGGGTGAAGAGAACATTTTAATAAAGTCTAAAACTGGGCAAGTGTTGAAGTGTGTTAGATTTTAAAATTTTATTGCGCAAAAAGTATTACTAGCAATCTTCCGTCACAATAATAGTTATTTTTTGCTCTACCTTGGTATTCAATGGGCGGGTGAATACAGTTTTATGCTTTCCTCTACAGTCAAGTAAATATTGTTTGGAAGTATGTTTAAACTTTCAGTGTTTCCAAAACCAAGGCTGCAACATCTTAATCAGAATCTAAAATGGCTTGTAAGGTGAATATTTTATCTATAAAAAGAATAATTCACAGATTGAAATCAGAAAAAAAACATACCGTTATTGCCATAATGTGCATGGAAGTGCTCAATATGGCCAGCGTAAAACTGGTCAACACGTCTCGCTTGAACTACCTCTGCCTGATGAACATGAATCTGATCCACATTGGTTGCATATAGTTCATTGATTTGTGTGTCTAAAAAAAGGTTCAACATTGTTCATTGATTAACTACATTTCATAGGTCGCTTTCAATTAAACAAGGGTTTTCAATTTCTTTCAAATATGAAAATATGAGATTTATGATTCAAACTCATATTTTCAAAGGTTCAAATTGGCAAACTCATATTTTGAAAGGTTCAATAGGGATGAGGAAATACTGATACTATTCGACTAGTAATTTATTAAACATCCAATTTGATATGAATTGCAAACATCACTCCAGGTTCTCAATTACAATCTTGTTCTAAAAATGCAAAATTATCTAAATAAAATTCAACTGAGCCTTGATGTTCACCTTGAATGTTCACAACGTTAGCTCCATCTTGTGGTTGGTATTGATGAGCCATTTTTCAAGACAGCAGTCCAAATATAGTCATAGCATGGAGGATATGCTATTGAAAACTATTCAAAGTATTTTTAATGTTACAAAATCTGTTGAACATAGAAGCACAAATTTTGAATAATTTGAGTTCATTGAATTTACAAAAACAAGTTTAGTTCTAATTAAAAAGTCATATTCAACCATATCACACTTTTCACTCGAATGCTAATAAAGGAACAACAAAACCAAGCTATATAACAGTTCAAAGCTGACTAGTGCACTCTAGGTACGGTTAAAAAGCTAGGATAGGTTCTGGTATAAAGCTTCAAATAATGACAACATTTCTTGCTTTTACTGACTTGTGAGTAAGTTTGAGACTTCTTCCACAAACCACGAATGGGGAGGTAGAATAATTTACTATTCAAGAATACTTAAATAAAATCTAGAATACCGAATCCTATGCTATTTGTTACCAACAAACACTAACAGGCATTATTTTTCAAGACAATAAAATATGAGAATTTTACCAATATTTTTTTTGCCTTGAATATTTCAAAATTCATGTGATCTTTGAACCCTTTTTGATTTGTATTTTTGTGGTCAAGGAAAAATAATTTATACTATTTCCCACTCTTTGGCAAATAATTTTGATAATGATAGTTAAAAAGTATCGACTTTTTGCTAGGATGATTTTCTGTTGCGACAACATATTCAAATTCATGAAGGATACCACATACCAGCATTTAAAATGTCTTGCTGTATTTTAATTTAATTATGTTCAGCGCAACTCATGGTTGCGTCGTCTTGCGAAATAATAAAAGCATTCCAAACTCTAAAATATCGCGCCAATCTGCGGACATAAAATGTGTGGTAAAATGCCCGAGTATATTTAATTTTTGATTAGTATTTTAGTACTCACGAAAATAAAAAGCCATACTACTATAAAATATCACGGCAATCGGCGAATATAAAATGTCTGGTGGCCAGGTTGTAGATTTGTTATTTCATTGTTTAATCATTTAGTGTATGCAAATTCCTTCATACACTAAGATAAGCTTCCTTTACTTAATTTAATTTCGGAAGAATTCGAAACTTCATATTCAAAAATAATAAATTCGAATGTATTCGAAATAGTGACTTATTCGGCATTGGTCATCCCTGCGATTCACATCAAAGGTGGTTAAACAAATAATTTCGGTCGTTCGAAATTCGGAATTCGGTCGTTTTGACTTCGAGATTATAATTAGTACATCGACCGAAATTAATGAACGATTAACATGATACCGCTTCCCACATCGCAAACTGCGTTTTGTTCTCGAGCTAAAATGTTATTTTATTTGAAAAACGTCGCTTACTTAAAACTGATATTAGGCAATCCGTAGTACAACAATGTTTATCCAAGCGTAGAAACAACACTCCCTTTTTTCGTAAAATAATATTCGTTATACAAAGGTATGTGGCTATGCACCGCTATGAACCCCCACTGGAATGTAGTTGTATAAACGAAAATATCTTTAGGCGCGGAAACACGCTGAACTATAACATACTACGTGTGTGTTCATGCGTGACAGAGCGTATTGGCACACACACCAAAAGCGATTATCCCCAAAAATCACTTTATCTTTATCGACACGTGACCGTCTGAGCGCCTCTCACAACACGGGCGTTTCGCAAAACGTCTACGATACTAATTTAGGACTTACATTATGTATTTCAATAGTATCAATAGTAAACTGGTGAGATACAAAAAATAAATGTGAAACATCATTAAATAACTGTTATAATAATAATTGGTAAATTTTTACTGCACTTCATACATAACGCGTTAATTATTTGTGTAAATTATTAAATTTCCCCGCTACTAATTATAATCAACCATGGGCCAAATGTGTTTACTCTGTGCGAGCGAGATTCGAAAAATAAAGTAACTGTAATCGTGATTTTGGACTAACTAACATCAAAAGAATAATTTTCTTTTAGAAAATCTTGATTTCCTGTTTCTAACTCCTTAACTCCTTATATACCGCGTCTCCCTGAAAATACGACCAAGCCAGAATTGTAAAAATGATTTTAATATACGCAATCCCCTTATAATATGACTAAGTTGACAAAGCAAATTAACTTTTTTGACCTAGTGTAGGGGTCGGCAACCTACGGCCCGCGGGCCGTACATAATTTACTATTGATATACTTGAATCAGATCTAGAATACCGAATCCTATGCTATTTGTTACCAAACACAAACAGGCATTATTTCTATGGACAACGAGATATGAGAATTTTACCAATATTATTTTGCCTTGAATATTTTAAAATTTATGTGATCTCTGAACCCTTTTTGGTTTGTATTTTTGTGGTCAAGGAAAAATAATTTATACTATTTCCCGCTTTTTGGCAAATAATTTTGATAATGATAAAAGTATCGACTTTTTGCTAGGTTGATTTTCTGTTGCGACAAAATATTCAAACCCATGAAGGATACCGGCATTTAAAATGTCTTGCCGTATTTCAATTCAATTCTGTTCAGCGTAACTCATGGTTGCGTCGTCTTATGAAAAAACAAAGGAATTCCCAACTTCAAAATATTGCGGCAATCTGCGGGCATAAAATGTGTCCTAAACTGCCCCAGTATAATTGATTTTCGATTAGTATTTACGTACTCAAGAATAACAAGAGCATTGCAAAGTTAAAATACCACAGCAATCTGCGAATATAAAATTTATGGTAAACCGGTTTTATTTGATTTTAATTCGTATTTGCGCACTAACGAATATAAAAAAGCCATACTACTATAAAATATCACGGCAATCAGCGGATATAAAATGTCTGGTAGCCAACTTGAAGATAACAGTTATTTCATTGTTTAATGTATGCAAATTCCTCCATACAGTAAGATAAAGCTTCCTTTACTTTAATTTACTTTCGAATGTATTCAAAATTTTATATTCGAAAATAATAATTTCGAATGTATTCAAAATAGTGACTTATTCGGCATTGTTCCTGCGATTCACATCAAAGATGGTTAAACAAATAATACGTGTTTATTAGAATTTGCTAAAAAGCAGAGGAATTTGGTCATTTTGACTTCGAGATTATAATTAGCACATCGATCAAAATTAATAACCGATTAACACGATTCCGCTCTCCACGTCGCCAACTGCGTTTTGTGCTCCACCTAAAATATTCATTTCATTTGAAAACCATGGCTTACTTAAAGCTGATATTAGGCAATCCGTAGCACAACCAATGTTTACACAAGCGTAGAAACAACACTCCACTCTCTTTCGCAAAATAATATTCGTTATACAAAGGTGTGTGGCTATGCACCCCCACTGGAATGTAAGTGTAAAAACGAAAATAGCTTTAGGATGTGGAAATACGCTGTACTATAACATACTACGTGTGTGTGCATGCACGACAGAGCGCATTGGCACACACACCAAAATCACGCGATGATCCTAAAAATCACTTCATCTCTATCGACCCGTGGACGGCTGTACGCCTCTCACAAAACCGGCGTTTGCAAAAATGTCTACGATACTAATTTAGGACTTACATACTGTATATTACAAGTAAACTGGTGAGATACAAAAAAAATGAAAACATTACATAATTGTTACAATCATAACTGTTAAATAACTACAGCACATTAAATGTAACACATTAATTATTGTGTAAATTAATAAATCTACCCACTATCAATTATTATAATCACCTCGGAGCCAGTGTGTTTACCCTGTGCAATCGAGACTCGTAAAATAAAATAACCGTAATCGTGATTTTGGACTAACTGACATCAAAAGATTAATTTCCTTTTATAAAATCTTGATTTCCTGTTTTTAACTCCTCAACGGTATATACCGCGTTTCCCTGAAAATACGACCTAGCTTGAATTGTAAAAATGGTTTTAATATACGCCATCCCATTATAATATGACTAATGATAATTATAATATTCCCTGATAATATGACCGCGGATCCGGACCGCGGAGTAACATAATCCGGCCCGTGACGCTTTGCTGAAATATAGTAACAAAACAGATGTTTTGACGATTATATTCTTTACGTAACAGAATTTATCATGAGAAACGTGTATAGACTTAATTATATAACAAGTATATATTTCACAATTACTCGTTTAATTATAATTAGAGAATGGCAACAAAACGCAGTAAAGTTGCTGCTAAATGCAAACGGTTTAATAGCGCATAATATATTCAAATGGTCAATCTTTGCGCGCTGCTTAACATTTAATTTCTGACCTTTATGAAAAAATGTGATTCATTGGCCATTCGTTCGGTTTTTAACTTTCGAAAAAATATGTGCGGCCCGCCAATGACTTGCAACCTTTAATTTTGGCCCGCGAGTGACGAAAGGTTACCGACCCCTGACCTATTGGGTAGCAAGAAATCTCCTACACGTTTCAAATTATTGATCCAAAACGTCTGGAAGCGGGAAAATGTTCCATGGCTCAATGTTCAATTTTTTTTTAAATAAAACGTGTTATTTATAAGTAAGTGAATATCGTATTTTTGTATCTTTGAATATCTCGTAATTCTTTACTTTGTAGTTTTGTGTTTGATAAATGAAAATAAAAAACATCCCGCAAAAATAACCCCTCAGGTTATTTTTCAAAATAAAATTGAAATAATACCCTGTTTTATATTCGGGGAAACGAGGTATCTACCCAGACTCGTTGGCGATACTCACTACGTGTTTGCGTAATACATCGCAATAGTTAGGCCGGGTATGATTAACTGTCTTTACCTAATACAGTAACCTTCTGATTTATCATTGACTAAAATACCACAGATACTCGACCAAACGTGTGTCAATCTTGGACGATAGGATCGCCGACTTGGTTTTAAAAAATATGTAATCTTTTGGGAATGCAAAATAGATGTGCCTGTAATTTTGGCGATACAACTTTGTATTCTCGAAGAGAGCCTGTAATATAAGTATGCACAAATAATATTTAATCGAAGTATATCGCAAACAATATTATAACATTTAACGCTCGTCTTTGAATAATAATAAATTGGAACACCGAAATACAGAAATAAATACTCGCCGCCAAACGTATACTTTATATTTCGAATCATTCAGATTCAG